GACTGAGCCACCCAGGCGCCCCATTCTCTCCACTATTCTGACCAAGTATTTTCTGGTCAGTCTGTGCCCACGGTTCAGGTTATCTTTCTAGAGTAGAATCTGTAAGGTGGGATGACTGGGTCGGTAGCCCCATGAGCAGTAAAGGAGATGATGTATTGTGTCTGGTACATCGTCAACATCCAGCAAATAACAGTCACTAAAAACAGGGAAGGGCCGGGGCGCCCAGATGGCTCAGTCAGTTAAGCACCTGCTTCGGTTCAGCTCCTGATTGGTTCTGGGATCGAGCCCTGCATCGGACTCCCTGCTCAGCAGGGGCGTCTGCTTCTCCCTCTGCCTCTCCCTCTGCCCCTCCCCCTGCTCGTGCTCTCTCTCAAATAAATAAGTAAAATCTTTAAAAAAAAAAAAAAAAGACAGGGAAGGGCAGCAGCATGGTCAGGGACATGGACACAATGACCGACTGCTGTGTTTGAAAGACTAATATCCAACGTCCTTTTGGACCCAGGGATGCTCAACATCCTACTGCTGAGAGTTTACCAGCAGTCAGACAGCTGGTTATTTGAAGTAAGACCTGACAATTCATGCAGCTGGCCTCAGCTGGGCACATGGGAAATCATCAGAAGATTTATTATATACTCTCATGTTCAGCAGACTTTTGAGGTCATTTGTTTGACACCCAAAGGCAAGGGCTGGATCACTGTGGGAGAGAATTGGACTTTGCCTCCAGTTCAGAGTTTCCGCCCCTTCGGGTGATGGAAACTTCCAAGGAGGTAGGAGAGTAAACCTCAGTGGTGCACAATTTTGTGTTATTCGCGAAGGAGAGAAAATTTAGGTGACACAAAGGACATTTATGGGGCCTGCCAGGAAGCAGCAGTAGCTTGGGAAATGACAGATAAATTGCCACCTTTGAGAAGGTGGCTGGAAAAAGCTGTGCTTTATGGAGACCTTGGGGATGGAGGCACATTCAAGATTTATGCATTGACCTGGTTTCTGGCAGAGCTCATGCTCCCGCCGACGTGGGCCTCCCTATATATTGGAGATGCATTTTTTTGGCATAGGGGATGCTTTTGACAAGCTGTCCTGTCTTGTCTCTCCTAGGACTTCCTGTTCCTGGGCACCAACCTCCAGTATGTGAGAGCTTGAGAGCAGGGACACAGCCGGGGTTTGGAGGCCACAGCTGGATCGGCAACTTGCATTTCCAGATGTGCCGTGTATTCCCAGTGATTCTGGGAAGATGAAGACTTCTCTGTTCTCAGCTCCGGGGGAGAGGTCCGCCTGGCCTCTGCCCCCACACTGCTTCTCTTCAGCAGGTGCGCCCATACCCTCTCTGACTCTGGGCTTCAATGCCCCCACCTCACCCAGGACGGACCATCTTCCCGCCCTGGCCTGGACTATCTTTAAGGACGGGCATCATCTTTTTTAGTCACCATCTGATCCCTGTACCTGGCACTTAGATCCTCAATAAATATTTATTGAATGGTTCAATGAAGGAACCAGTTGGTGTTCTAGATGAACCTTCTTACCACCCACCCTCTTTTGTCTGAGGGGTCTTTGGATGGTCAGCCCCATCCGTGGTCTCACGGACGCCCACCCAGCCCTGGTCCTGGCTCTAATGCCCGCTCTGGAAGGTGCTTGTCTCTCTTGGTGCACGGGCAGCTCAGGGGCTCGCTTCAGTGTGTGCTCCCTCCCTCACGTCTTGCCTGCAGCACACAAGGGAACCAGTGGGTCTCCCAGAGCCAAAACTCAACCTCCTGCTGTTTTCCCCACTGAAATGGGTGTAAATTAGGAGGAAATGGATCCCTCTAGGTTTTTGGTCCGACCCAAATAAAAAGCTCATCCAACTGTTGTTTATGAGCCCCAAGCCCGGAGGAAGAGGCCATGATTTCTAATTACTGAACAACCAGCCTTTGATCAGACTTACTAAAGAGTCATTTCCAAGTTATGTAGTTGGGCCCCCGGGAACTGGGAATCAGAAGGCTCGTTTGATATATTTTTTTATTGTGTTAATGAGCAGCTGGATGGAGCTGCGGGCTAACAGATCATTCACAGGGAATAGACCCATTTACCCTTTGTGTGACAGAGACATGTTCCAAGATGGGACAATGCGCGGTCACCCAGCTGTTGGCAAAGTAGGCCGTGGCTTTGTGTCCTCCCTCCTCTTTCCTTTGGTTCACTCGTCCACCTGCATCATCCATCCCTATGGTGGACAGGTGACAGACTTGGGCCTCGTCCATTACTAGCCATGTGGCCTTGGGCAGGTCCCTTCCCCCACTCAGGGTCCTCATCTATAAAATAAGGGTGATAATGACAATAGTCACTTCCCGAGCCTGTTGTCATGGTGATATTGGGTAATCCATGTAAAAGGACTTATTTAGCTGCACTGGGCATTTGATACTTATTGGCTGGACGTGCTTACTGAGCATCTCCTGCTTGTAGACTCAGCGTGGGAGAAGTAGAGGCAACGCAGACCCAGTTCCAGTCCCTGCTCTTAAGAGTGTTGCCTCAGGTGTGGTGGAAGGAGCCAGCCTCGACTCCAGTGTACTTGTTTTGGGCCCCCGGGCAAGTCCCGTGTCCTCACCTGTCAACTGTGGCTGGGAATCCCTCCTCGCAGGGCGACTGGGGACTCCAGGACTTCCTATCAGGCCCTCGGGGTTGCCCGGGCCATACTAGGTGCTGGTAAATGGCTGATGCGATTATCACCTGCCTTACTTTGGGCTCCTCAGAAGCAGCCCCGGGCACAAGGAGGTGAGTACAAGTAATTTATTTGGAGGAAGATCCCGGGAAGTTCTAGTGGAGGAGAGAAAATGGGATGGGTGGGGGAAAGCAGCCAAAAAGGGTATATGATCAAACCACGGGTGACCGCAGCTTAGTTCTCCTGGGGAAACTCTGGGAGCCAGTGCAGAATGCTCCTCAGAGTGCACACCCAAGGGCCACGGAAGCTGGAGTATTTATATACCATCTCCCACCACTCACTCGTGGAAGGGAGCTTCTGGGGGACCTGAGTTCTCTGGTTCTCCTAGTCTTCGCAGAGAGGGCTCTAGCAACCATAGAAACCTCTCAGGCAAAGAAATACAAATGTCAGCAAGCAGAAATCAGGTTGGTGTACACGGCTGTGGGAAGATGGGTGGGGCCCTGACATGGCCTGCACATGGTCCCACAATGGAATAGGAGCTCACCAGCTCAAAATCCTGAACGTGCTAGAAAACTGTTTGCCACAATGCCTGGAAAAGTTGTTTTCCTGCGCATATTTTTAAGAAACTTAGGCCAGTTTGCAAGCAGGCCTGCCTTCTGAACATTCTAGGACATTCCAGAACATCCCAGGGGATGGGTCCAAGAAAAGACTCAGGGGAGCCCAGGCAAGTCCTTGATGAGTATGGGGCAACCATTTTGCTATGAGACAGGGGAAGAACACTTATTTGTTTTTTTGTTTAGTTTTGTTTTGTTTTTTAAAGATTTTATTTATTTATTT